GTGTTTCAGGTTTCTGCCTAGTGTGAAGAACCCAAACAAGAAAGCCCAAATATTCCCCCTGAGCAAGCAAGAATAAAACTCTTCCCACTGCATCTAAGAGTATTAGTGTCCTTTCACTGCTGTAAAAAAAATTACCATAAACTTGGTGGTTTAAAGCAATTGAAATTTATTATCTTACAGGTCTGGAAGTGAGAAGTCCCAAGATCTCACGGGGCTACAATCAAAGTGTTGGGGGATTGTGTTCCTTCTGGAGGCTCTAGGAGAGAATCTGTTTCCTTGCCTTCTCCAGCTTCCAGGGGCTGCCTGAACTCCTTGGCGTGAGGCCCCTTCCAATAATTGCATCTCTCCGACCTCTGCCTCCACTGTTGCATCTTCTGACTTCTCCTCTTTCACATAGGAGGACAACTGTGAATACAATGGTCTCACCTGCACAATCAAGGATAATCTCCCCATCTAAAGATGCTTGACTTAATCACATCTGCAAAGTCCCTTTTGCCATGTGAGGCTGATCACATTCATGGGTGCCAGGGATGAGGCCGCAGCGCAGAGAGAAAGCCGGAGTCCATTCAAAGACAAGACACACCCAGCGCAGCTGCCGGGCCCTATGAGGGAATGAGATGATCCTGCAGGCAGAGGTGGCAGCTAAACTGGTGATAGGCAGTCCTAGAACATACTGGGGGGGGGGAGCAAACTTCTCTAGAAGTGCTGCCCTTCTGCATTCATGGTCAATATTTTAAGAAAATATTAAATATTTATAACTGTAAGTGACAGGCTCATTAGACAAATCCAGGTCTGACTCCCGAGTGCATTTTTATAATCCCTATGACAGACTGCCTCATACCTAGCTCAAATCGAAGCTGGGAATTTTCTGTAAATTGAACCAAGGCCCTGATAGAAGAGAGCTACATCCTCACACAGACCCGTCTGAATAAAAATGATGCTGGATAGCACAAGGCGAATAGAACAGAAAAGAGGCTCTATGCCCAGGCCAAGTGCTTTCCCTTTGTCTTTATGCAAAGGAACTATAAGTATGCAAACCCATGGTGCACCTTTAAGAAGTCAGTTTATTTATATTTTAATATTTTATTTATTTTTTATTTCATTTTTTTAATTTTTATTTGTATTTTTAGCAGAGACAGGGTCTCCCTATGTTGCCCAGGCTGGTCTCAAACTCCTGGCCTCACGCAATCCTCCCACCTCAGCCTCCCAAAGTGCTGGGATTATGGGCATGAGCCGCCACACCTGGCCAAGAGTTTGGCTTTTATAAAAGACTGAGTTAATGTGTGCAGCTTTCATTCTATTGTGTTAATTCGGTCTCAGTAAACACACCCTAGTGAAGAACTGTTTTTATTTCTTAGAGTTTCTTTTACAGAACCTACCTGAGAACCAAAGTTAAGAAATTAAGGTGCCCAGAGTGTTCCAAATCAAGTCAGCTATACTCCTTAGAGCTGCGGTCCCCAACTCCCAGGTGGCAGACCAGTACCAAGTCAGGGGCTGTTAGGAAGCAGGCTGCACAGCAGGAGGTGAGTGGCGGGCAAGCAAGTGAAGTTTCATCTGTATTTACAGCCGCTCCCCATCGCCTGCATCACCCATGAGCTCCTCCTCCTGCCAGCTCAGCAGCGGCATAAGATTCTCATAGGAGCATGAACCCTACTGTAAACTGCACAAGCGAAGGACCCAAGTTGCATGCTCCTGATGAGAAGCTAATGCCTGATGATCTGAGGTGGAGCTGAGGCGGTGATGCTAGCGCTGGGGAGCGGCTGCAAATACAGATTATCACTAGCAGAGAGGTCTGACTGCACGATAAACACAATGCACTTGAATTATCCAGAAACCATGCCCCCGCCTCCATCTCATGGAAAAATTTCCATGGAAATTTTCTCCATTTCATGGAAAAATTGTCTTCCATGAAACCAGTCCCTGATGCCAAAAAGGTTGGGGACCTGCTGTCTTACAGAGAAGTCTGCTTCAACAAGGTATATTTCTGTCTAGTTGTTACTCTTTACACATGGGTAATACCTGAATCAATGCATTTGTTACATGAATTTCCCAAGACTTGGTTTCATGAAATGTATAGCTATTAATAACAACACTTGTGCCTTTTAAAAAATATGTATTGTTCCAGGCAGTGAATTCCCTTTCCTGAGCTCCTGAGACACAGAACACCCTCACAGATGGCCTGCACATGTCAGGCATTCACTAAGCAACTGCTGAACGACCACAGGAACACGCAAACCCATGAAGTCCCAAATAAGCCCTCTTGCCACAGGGTCAGTCTGAGATGTTTACTTATTGAAAAATGCCATTCAACTCCTCTCTCAACAAACATTAAGTATGGAGATTGCATAGAAAAAGAATTCTTTAGTGCCCTAAGTCTGCAAAACCTTTTCATCAGGGTGCGATAGTGGTTGAAAGGTGCTAGAGATGTGCTGACTTGAGTTTGAATTCTGACAGTAGCACGTGCTGGCTATCTGACCTTGGGAAAGGTGCTTAACCTTCTTAGCTGGTGTTTCTTCACCTCTCCCGGCATGATGGTATTTACCTTGTAGGGCTGTTCTGAGCTTGTGATAGCCCATGAAGAGTGTTTATAGTTCCCAACGCACTGATGATGATGATGATGATGATGATGATGATGATGATGATGATGATGATGATGGGGTGGGGGCGCTGCTGCTGCTGAATGATGAGTTCCAGGCTTTGCAGACAGTAAGTTCCCTGCCATGTGAGGCCCATCCATGCTGGAAACATGTTCATCAGGCATGATGCTCTCCAGCTCTCCAGGGCAGCCACCTATCTTCTCCTGCAACTCACAGTAATCTGCGAGATGGGCGCAAAGCCCTCCCTGACACTTTTTCACCTTCTGCCACTGCCAGTTCCACTCATTTGCTCATATTTTGCTTGTTGATCACAGCTGCAGGATGCCCAGCCTCTTCCCTCCCCAGCCCAGCCACAGTTCTGGCATGGCCGGAAAGTATGGTCCATGGCTAATACAGAGAGAGGGAAAGCCTAGGGCTTTTCACTGGGAGCCATCTCTCCTTTCCTAGTCATTTTCTTTACTTTTATCTGCAGATATACCACTTTTTTTTTATATATATGCACCCCCCTTCCCGAGTTGACCTAAGTGGTCAACCTTATTCTCACCACCTCCCACAATTAAAAGGAATCAGGCAATACATTTGAACATGCAAAAACTAGGCAATGTTTACAAACTATCTGTTTTATCAGAGTTTACCAGCAAGAAATAACACAAACTCAGGAGGCAAAGAATATTTTTTTCATTTATACACCTGATGTTCTTACCACATCAAAACAATATAATTTAAGAGTTTGCCTTTTTAATTTCATTTTCTCCTAAAACCTGTATTATAAACACTAGCACAGATGCCAAACCTTAGAAGAGAAGATTAAAAACAATTGGTCTTAATATAAACCCTACAGAACTTTCAATAAACTATCAATGCTAACTGCTAGTTATTTTGCAAGAATCGGGGCCATTGTTTTGAAATTCTCTTGCTTTTCATATTTTCTTTTCTTTGCTAAGTAAAAAAGAAAGAGAATGAGAGAAAGAGACAGATAAGGTCTATATAACTCTAGCAAGAGAGTCGATGTTTCCAGGCAAGGTCTGACATACTAGATAATATCAAGAAACTGTAGTTTTCTCTGCTAGAAAAAAATGTTATTTCAAAAATAAGAATGTAATACAAGATGTCTTCTATAACCTTCAATTTAATCTTTCAGTACAGATTTACAGTTCTGCTATATTTACTTGTGGCCTATGCAAGATAGAATTTAGTGAACTTCTGAAGACATCCATTCCCTTTCTTTGCCATATGCATTAATGACCAGCAGCCTTTAGAAAGTTATGTCTTTTTTTATTTTTCCTTTTTTATTTCAGCATCTTATGGGGGTACAAATGTTAAGGTTACGTATATTGCCCATGCCCCGAAAAGTTATGTCTTTCTATGGAAAGCTACCCAACACACTCAAATTTTTCACTCCTACTTTGTGAAATCCTCCTGTAAGACAGGTTTATAGAACTAAAGAAAAGTCACAAGTCACCACCACCATCAATAGCATTCCATTTGCCTGTCTCTTTTCATCCTGGGACATCCCTGGGACCAGAGCACAAAACCACCACTCAGAAAATCCTCTCACTGAATGCGCCCCAAATGACCTTGTGGAGGCCAGGACAACTGATGAAAGAAGAAGAGGAAATCTTTATCTTAATAGCAATTGAACAGATGAAAAATAAAAGGCAAGTCAGATGGGCTATTTTTAAGGTAAGCACGAGCACTTTGCATAATGAGGCTATATCTAACTGAGGTTAAGATCCCTCTTAGAATAAACCAAAAGTCTCATTAATGAATATCCTTTCATCCTACAAAACCATCACCTCCAAAGTCTTTCCACTGTGGTGAATTTCTTAATAACTCTCTTCTGAGTTAACCCTTGTGAATAATTGACACCAGAACCAAAAGCCAGGTTGCCTTTATTACTCTTAGCCCATCAAGCTCATGAATGAAAATTTCTACTCATTTTGTAACAGCTCATTCCACTTTTAAAACTTAGATAGGAGATAGGCACTAATTTTTTTTACACTGTATGTATTTCTTCCCTTTAACCATTTCCTTTCTTAAAAAGGAATAATATCACTTCAAGAGGCTAGCCACTTATCTCCTAATATACAGTGAGTGACTTACTAAGTCCTCCTAACAGCACAAATGGAAAGCACTCACTAGAATATGGCTGCAAAGCCAGAAACCACGTAAGCTCTCTGCAAAGAGAACTATACACTCCTAGAAGCTGTGAATCCAGCAATTCTATAGACTTCTGGCAGAAGAGAAAAAATGCAAAGGGATTATGAGGGGAAAACAAGTCTGAGGTTTTCAAAGTCATTTTCAGTTACAAAGAACCTCAGCTCCTAAAACCACATTAGGAAAGGCCAGAGATAGAGCAAAATTTATAACCAGAAAAATGTAACACGAAGTCATTGTACTCACCGTCTGATGGCTTCTGTCACAGTATCGCAGCCCAAAATAATCTATCTCCACAAGGTTTATGTGACGAAATACATGGTCAAGGACAACGGAACCTTTCGTTGACTTCTGCAAAAATAATTCATGTTTTTTTTTTTAACAAGGTGTCTTGTCTTTCTCAGCGGGACACAATCACGGTTCTCATCTTTTACTAGCTTTGCTCATGATGGAGCAATTTTATTAGACCACGGCTCCCTCTTTAAGTTTCACCTCAATTACAAAGAAAAATGTGATTTAAAGCAAAGTGTATTTCAAAAATTGCTTTGGAACATAATTTTTAAATTGCAGTTTGTTTTTAAATATAAGCTTCTTTTCTTCTGGGATTATAAAGTATCTTCAAGACAAAATTCTTCTTTTAATAAAGATAATCTTTTATATGAAGAGCATCTAATAAATTCAGCAAAAAAAATACTCTGGTTAAAAAAAAAAATCCCACAATTCTGTCATTTTAAAAAGCAACTTTCACCTACAGCATTAGTCTCACAAACTAATACAAAAGATACATAAAATAAAAATAACAATAGTTAAAGCTTTTCTTTTCAATCCTCAAATAATAAACCCATAGATTAAAGCTGCTAAGGCTAATGTACTGAAAAGCCCTTGTGAAGGTATTTTACTTTATCTACTTCACATAAGCACAGACATAAAGAAAACATTTCTCTTGGCTTCTTTTTAAACGTTGATACCTATCTTAAAAAGCTAATCTCTCTTATCCCCTCCTACTACATGCACAGATTCTTTAAATTAAGATTCTTATCATCTAACATTAAATATCAATTATTCACACATGTAAGACACACTTAATCAGCAAGCACCACTCCACATACCACATTAACCTTGAAAATAACCCATTTCTATAGTACATGCAAGAAAATGCAGACTCTTCCTTTCTTTTGTTCCATCATTAGCAGGGATAACAGGGTAGTAAAAGAAGCTAAGAAGTCACACTCTGTGGAAATTAAGTAGGGCTTTTGTTCAGTTGCAACTTCCCTCAGAAAATCACCAGTATGTGCTTATCCATGTATGGATACTGCACTGCTTTTAGAATACTGCACTGTTTTGGAAAATGGATTGTTAACATAAGGCAGATGTTTTGATTAAATGCATTATAAAATGGGTGATATGAAGTGATGAAAGTACACGATGGGAGAAAACAGTTCTCGTTACAAATCCCACAGGTATTTTGTCTTCCTCTAAATTACTTTGGTTAAATTTAATTGGTTCCTTTTTCAAAATCCGTTAAATATTTATAAGCAAAAAAGCTCTTCCATGATGGATCTTTAGGTTGTTGGGCATTTTCTGCTATAATCACAATGCCACATCCAAAAGATGTCTCTTTGTGCTCGTGAGTACCTGTGTGTTTCTCTGGGGCAAAAATCTAGAAGTGAAATTCGTCATGTGAAGGATTATAATACTTATAATTACAGAGGGCACTGCCAAAAAAAACCATTACAATTCATTCAATGAGAGTATATGTTTCCCCACATCCTTGCCAACATTTGGACTGAGCAGATTTCTTCCAATCTGATTGTGCAAAAAAAAAGGTGGGGGGGGCGGGGGGCAGAAAAAGGAATTGTTTTAATTTACATTTTCCTGACACTAAGAAAACACTCTTTCATGTGCTTACTGGCCAATTGCATTCCCTAGCATTTGGGTTAGGCATCCTCCAACCCAAAGTTTATGAGTAAATTTTCCTAAGTACTCCTAACACTTGTACAGTTTTACTTAGTATATTTAGCTCTTTGTTCGATCTGGAAATTATTTTTATGTTTTGTTCCCAAATGGATAGACAACTGTACCACTATTTACCAAAAAACCATCATTTCCCTTTCAATTTGAAACACCTTTATCATCTACTAATGAACCCCTTTCTATCCCATGGATTAGGATTACTCCAGGACCAATATGACCAAGATTTAAGGAATTTAGTTTAATATAATTTGTTTGATATTCATCTTTCTTTTTCAAAATTGTCTTTGCCAATTCTTGGACATTTTTCTCTACTCGAGGAAGTTTAGAAACAGCTGCTAATTTAATAAACAATACCATTGCAAATTTAACTGGAATTGAATTGACAGACTGATTTGTGGGGGGCATGGATATGTTTACAAAGGGAAACCTATACGATCATCCTTTATATCCTTCAAGGAAATTTTATATTTTTTTTCTCATGTAGGTCTTACAGAACTCTACTTAGGTTCTGTGGAAGCAGGTTTACAAAATTCCCTGCCCCCTGCCACCCCTCCTACCACCACCACCAAAGATAGCCTGCCCTGCTCTCTGGAACCTGTGACTATGATGAGATAGCATATCATAGATATCATATGTGATTGTGTTATGTTATACGGCACAGTTGTCTTTAAGATAGGGAGATTATTGAAGTGGGCCTAACGACATGGGCTAAGGCAAAGCGCTTTCTCCAGCAGAACAGGAAGGCAGAAGGAAAGTCAAATATATTCAAACCATGAGAAGGGCTCTGCAGGTCCCTGTCACTTGAAAGATGGAGGGGCCATCTGAGAAGAATGGCAACAGCCTCAAGGAACTCAGGGCAGCCACCAGCTGACAGCCAGCGAGGAACTAGAAACCTCGGTCCAGACTCTTAGTTGTTAGCAGAATCTCATCTTTGTGGTAAGACCGAGATTGGGATTCTCCTAACAACTAAGAGTCTGGATGCAGATTCTTCCGCAGAGTCTTGGCTAAGAGCCCAGCTGACTAACACTTCAGCCTTGTAGGACCATGAGCAGAAAACCTAGCTGGACCATCCTGAACTTCCAACCTACATAACTGCGAGATAATAAATGGGGGCAGGTTTAAGCAATTTTGTTTGTGGTAATTTGTTACACAGCAATAGAAAACTAATACAGGCTCATTCTTAGATATTTTAGTTGTATTGTTATACTTTCTGATTGGCTATCGCTAATATATTAGAAAATAACTAATTCTCTTCATTGATCTTACTCCCAGCCATCTTGCTAAACTCTTTTCAGATAGTTTATTTATGGAGCCTTCTCAGATAATCACATTTTCTACAAATAAGAGTTCTAGTTCTTCCTTGTCAAAATGCTGCCCCCATTTACTTCTGTTTTCTTACTGCATTGGCTGGGACCTCAATAAAAGGAAAACTGGTAATTGTGAGAACATGTATCCTTATTATCTTCCTGTTTTAATGTAACTGCTTTTTAAATTTTACCACTAAGTATAATTGGTACTGTATGGCCCTAATATACCCTTTATCAAACAGAAGATTCCTTATATTCTGCTTTATTTTGTCTTTTTTATTCAGTTTTTGTTTTTAATCAAGAACAAGTGATAATTTTATCAACTTTTTGGTAATCAGATAATTATATGATGTTCATACTTTCATGTATCAATTACATTAAAAAAGCTTCTAATGTCAAATATTCTGGATAGGGAAGTGCCCATTTTAGTTCGTTTTGTTCTGGGTATGTATCAAACCCTCTCCCTGTTTGGAGAGAATCCCCTACTGTGTGGGTCTTGGTGGAGGCAGGAGCCAGACTTCCCAACACCTACAGCTAGACCACAGGAGCATGACCTGGTTTCAGTCAAAGGCCTTTGACTTCTGAGCAAGTGATACAGAGGAGGAGGAAGAGTTTAGGATTAATTCATGGCAGTGGCTCCCAACAGCAAGGGGATACCCAACAGCAGAGGCATTCAAAGGTGAAATCAGCTGTGACCAGCAGTAGGAGTGACTAATTTCTGAGCCAGATTTTTTAGCATTCTTGAGATACTCAATAGGGACAGCCAGGCAATTCACCACCTACCCCTGACTCCCCTTCCTGCTGGGAGAAGTGAATATGTATGTTTGGCCCAAGAGCCATGCCCCCATGTCCCAAGGAAAAATCCTGAGTAACAATATAGAAAATCTGGTCCAACAGTATACTAAACATATCATCATGAATACAAAATTTTTTATAAGTGCATCCTTGATGTAAGTACATCAAGCAAGGGTTCTTAAAGCAAATTCTGGCTAATATAACTATGAAAAAAAATTATTGAAGACACTGGGTATCCTGCAGGCTCTATAGACATCATCATTACCTAGGGCTTCTTCTGATCCTCATATATACACAGCCACTAAGCCTGGAATACTCAATCCATCCCTACCACCTTTCAGTTCTCCCACCCACGTTTTGGGCTATGGTTTCTACCTTCAACTGTTTCTCATTTGCCTTTCATGAATTTCTCTTATAATTTCTGGCCCACAAGATCACATTTGCTTATTTTCCAGGCTATCGTAGAAAATGCACACACATCTTTCCTGTCACTTCAAAATATTTCTGGAATGCTGGCATATGAAGCTACTATTCCATCTTGATCTAATCTCCCTTAAGGGTCCCTTCTCCTATCCAGGCACAGACAGGAAAAGATGCAACAACTAGAGCAGGTGAAGCCCCACAACTCCACCGAATTCTTCTATCCCAAACAGGTAAATGAGAAGTGGTTTATGAACAAAAGAGGAAAGAATAATGCCTGAAATTATGGCAATAAAATGGTCCAGATTTTTTTAAATATGTAAATCCAGGATATCTTTATACAAACTATTAATATTTTTATGCCTCTATGTCTACTAGAAATGTTACGGTTTTTTTCATACATATAATCTATAATATTTATAAAGCGTAAAAATGATCTAACATTCTACTCATGAAGAATATACACAAAAGCAAGCTTAGAAAACCAGTGTAGTTTGGAAAGTACATGGAAGTTGCAAAAAATTTCATGAGGAGGAGGAAATCATCAAATGTGGAAACTTTCCAAAACTATCACTCCAAAACTACCAGAGAACACAGACTGTCAATCTCTGTGACAGTTTTGCATTTATATAAGTTCTGGTGCTGAAAATACTTTATAAATATTATACTTTAGCATATTTTGCTATCTTCTATAAAGAAACCACAAGGAAAGCATCTTATGCATGTTATGCAATGAATCCAGTGCTAACCTGGAAAAAAAAAAAAAAAAAGTAATGGCTCATGATTCCTTCTACCTGTTTCTGTATAGCACAGGTGTGTCCACACAAGCACCTGGAGCAGGGCCAGGCGAGTCTC